CCCGTCTGCAGCGGCCGGGGCTGACGTTAGCCCGTCTGCAGCGGCCGGGGCTGACGTTAGCCCGTCTGCAGCGGCCGGGGCTGACGCTAGCCCGTCTGCAGCGGCCTGGGGCTGACGCTAGCCCGTCTGCAGCGGCCTGGGGCTGACGCTAGCCCGTCTGCAGCAGCCCCCTCTCTGCATAGCCGTGTGTGAAGGACCGCTGACTCTGATGGCGAGTTTTTTTTTTTTTTTTTTTTTCATTTGATTTGTGTTTATCTGACGGTGTTCATTATTATTCCTCCACTGAAAAAAACCAGTAAGAGTTTATTATTATATAGAGACTATTTTAACAGGAGGTGAAATGTAGCTCCAGGCGAGCTGAGCGTGTGGTGATGTCATCACTAAGCTTCTGTTCCAATTGACCCATATTTATGCTGCTTGCTCCCGTTCTCCAGTCCAGACTTTCCTGGGTTCTTCTCTAGAAAATACTTGCCGTTCTTGTGAATTGAGAAACGGCAAATATCTACTGTCTCTACCAGGAGGAGAGAACCCTGTATGGTCAATGACTGGATGCAATCAGCTGGTTTCCCTTAGAGAGAAAACTTTGAACCTTTAATCTGACTGGATAAAATTTTTTGATTTAATAAAAAAAATGATGTGCCTTAAACTGTTATTATAAAAATCAAATGAATTAAAACTAATCTTTATGGAGCTTTTAACTTTGTTAGCAAAGGTAACAAAGTCATGGCCTAATCTGTCCCTGTTTTGCTGTAATGGAAACCAGTACGGTATGGGATGGGTTACTTTGGACAGGAACGGTACACAGCACACTAACCTAGACAATGTCAGCAAAGATGCATGGGGCCATTAGCACCAAATGCTAATCTCCACCTGTCAACTCTGGGCAGGCTGATGTTTGGAAGAAAGATCTACATCTATAGAATCTATGTCTGCGAATTGGACAAACAGTTGATCATTTATAATGAAAACAGGTTATATGTGTGACATTAATCAAAGATACATTTAAAAAAAAAAAAAACTCACCCGCCCACTCAGTCACTCCATCATCCCACAGATTCCTCCCCATCGCTCACTGCCAACATTTATTCTAATCTATGCATTTTTTGTTTTTACCAGCAGCTGTTTCTATGTGAGACTGTGGAGGTCAAACGGTTCCAGGGACTAACAGCCAACCAGGAGAACGCCGAGTGGAGGAGTGCGGCTCTACGTTTGGGAACACTGCACTGTCCTCTGGAGGAAAAACGCATGAATCTATGTGGTTTTCCTAAAGTCATCATGAACAGACCTCTCAGAGGAGGAGCAGCACCATTTATAACTTACTTTAGTGATGAAAAATTTACATTAATGATTACATTAGATAAATTTAGAAGTCGCCGTCACCATCCCACCTCCCAGCGAACAGGACAACCTCGTCTGAGCATTTCTGCTTAAAGCTGAGAGCAAGCAGCTCATTTAGCCACTAACCTCCACAGCAGAACAACTGTTATTTTTAGATCACGTCTAAGTTGCAAAAATGTGTTTTTTCTTCTAGTTTGTTCAGTCTTTGTAAAGAAAAGCTTATTCACCAGAAGTAGCATGATACTATGCTGCTGAGGGATGCAAGCGCCATTAAATACATTATTTCACAGAAAATTCAAACGTTTCGGCAAACTCAAAAACATCACTGATAGAAAAACACAAACAACACGTGCAGCAAAGAAATACTGCAGAAGGTGCTGCTATAGAGAGCAGCAGCGTGGAAACAAGCAGCAAAGATAAATAACGCAAAGACAGAACCATACAAAACACATGGGAACATGAACCACATAAAGTAAGTTCTCCAGCCCACTAGGGGGAGACGATCACCGTCTCCAGACCAGACCATCAGTAGAGACATAGGCTGTGGCCGAACAGCTGCGCTAACCACTATATTTCACACTATATAGAGGTTACGCAATTTTAAATCAGCCTAGCCTGTGCCTAGCGCAGAGGTCATGGATTAGCGTAGCAGGGACCGGACCCGGAC